TCCTGCCTGGCACCTCCTTGCAGAATAGGAAGTCCTCTAAAATGCCTGGTCCCAGGGGTACACACCAAAGCAATTCATTGAGTTGCACTAGAAATGTCTGGATTCATCCAACTGAATAGAACATTGCTCACATAAATGCAGTATATCCAGTAGCTGTGATCTGTGACAGTATGTCAGCTGAGAGTTCTTTAGTTCTTCTCAACAGTGTAACAATGTCGTTGAAAAGTGGTACAGCTTTAAGCTTATTAGCTGGCAGACCCCGGAGACCGCAGCTGGCGGCGAGGAGACCGAGGAGGCTGCGTCAGGCAGCGTAGACGATGAGGAGGCCGCATCAGGCGGCGTAGACGATGAGGAGACCGCGTCAGGCGGCGTAGACGAGGAGGAGGCCGCGTCAGGCAGCGTAGTTGACGAGGAGGCCGTGTCAGGCGGTGTAGACGATGAGGGGGCCGTGTCAGGCGGCGTAGACGATGAGGGGGCCGCGTCAGGCAGCGTAGACGACGAGGGGGCCACGTCAGGCGGCGTAGACGACGAGGGGACCGCGTCAGGCGGCGTAGACGACGAGGGAGCCGCGTCAGGCGGCGTAGACGACGAGGGAGCCGCGTCAGGCGGCGAAGACGACCAGGGAGCTGCGTCAGGCGGCGAAGACGACGAGGGAGCCGCGTCTGGCGGCATAGACGACGAGGGAGCCACGTCTGGCGGCGAAGAAACCTTGGAGGACGCAGCATGCGCCATAGAGTCCTGGGGAGACGCAGCATGCGTCATAGAGTCCTGGGAAGACGCAGCATGCGTCATAGAGTCCTGGGGAGCTGCAGCAGCTGACATGGAGGGCCATGGAGGCAACCCCTCTGGAGACTTGGAGGGCGCCGACCCCTCTGGAGACTTGGTGGGCGCCAACCCCTCTGGAGACTTGGAGAGCGCAGCAGATGACGTGGGAAGCTGGAGAACTGCAGCATGCGACATGGAGTCCTGGGGAGCTTCAGAGAACGGAGTGGGAGCCTGTGGAGCTGCAGCGGATGGCGTGGGAGCCTGTGGAGCTGCAGCGGACGGCGTGGGAGCCTGGAGAGCTGCAGCGTGCGGCGTGGGAGCCTGGAGAGCTGCAGCGTGCGGCGTGGGAGCCTGGAGAGCTGCAGCGGACAGCGTGGGAGCCTGGAGAGCTGCAGCGGACGGCGTGGGAGCCTGGAGAGCTGCAGCGGACAGCGTGGGAGCCTGGAGAGCTGCAGCGGACGGCGAGGGGACCTTGGAGTTGACAGCAGGCGACGAGGGGACCTTGGAGTTGGCAGCAGGCGACGAGGGGACCTTGGGAGTTGCTGCTGCAGTCGGAGAGGCCTGGAGAGTTGCTGTTGCTGTAGGAGAGGCCTGTGGCTCTGCAGCAGACGACAGAGAGACTTGTGGCTCTGCAACAGACG